CAAGGCATTTACTCCGGATGGATGTTTGAGTTCTGCAGTCTAAATGCCTAAGGAAGCTGGCACGATGCCGTGGTAGCTCGGTATTTGTACAATAAACTTCTATTTCGTATATCTGAAGGATTCTACGCTATAGCTGATATTGCTTCCCGTGGAATGAAGCTCGTCTTCACGGGCGCATGAAGACTCTGCTGAAGATAGATTCGCGTCTATCCCGTCAGCTTCAACAAGAAGGACGCATATCTGAATATGGACGCGTCATCGAGTTCCATTCCCAGCTCGTGTCTTCTCGTCACTGCTGGAATGGGGAATGAGAGCACTTCAAGGATGTTTTGCTCGTCGAAAGATGACAGTACCAGCAGATGATCACAAGCACAGGTTGATCATCCTTAAGGCCTGCATGTGGTTGCACCTAGTTTCTCACCCGCATCATTGGCATCAACTAGGTTCGCATCATTTACTAGAAAATTTGGTGTGGTGATGATCCAACACGCGCTATGGTCTACGAAGACTTTGCTCGGATGATGTTTCGCGACATTGGGAGCTATGACCATTTTGTGAGATACAATCGTGCCAAACAATTGATCATTAATGAGACTACGACGAAGCCAACGCCTAAATGTAGATTGGTTCATTAATTGACGTCACTTGTGTTTTCCTACCGGCGTTACTGAATTTAATGCTACCACCGTGTCAATTGATGATCGTTTACACTCGCTCGCTCTTAGGCGGGTCGAGGGCTCGAAGGCGACGCACCATCTGATAGTACCCTGATATTTCCATTTTTCTTCGTGCTTTCCCATTGAGTATTTTTTGCCTTAGATGTCCTTGTGGCGAAGCGGGATCTGCGAAAAGCGCGTTGACGCAGGTCTCGATACCACTGGCGCCCGGACACCAACTAACGAAGTGAGCCCTCCGATGATCCGTGATCTGGTTGTGTTCTTGCTCATCTTGTGTACCCGACGCGGGCGGGTTACGCTCTTCTGGGTGACGCGTTCGATGTATCTCCGAAAAGAGCAGAACGCAGGGGGTTGGGATAGTGCGGAACTACTTCGTTCTACCTCGTTTTAGTCGATCTCGGTCGCTGACGGGTCCTTGAGTCGCGATCGAGCTGCCAGGTTGTTGATTCAGGTCTTTAGGGGGTCCAAATACGGAGGTCGTGCTCCTTCCTTGTTATGCTTGCCGCTTCCAATAGCGGGGAACTTGTTGGGTCGAGATCCGATGCGATCTTCAGGCCAAGCAATTAATGCCTTCCGATCAACGGTAAACACTCGAGGACAAGTCACTAGGTAGGGCACAGCTGGCCAAATATATTATTCAGTCTTAACCACTACGCTAGAACCTATGTCCTTACCGTCTGTGCGCTTGAGGGGCCAAACTAATCCCCGATTCCTGGCGTAGGTGGACACTTGTGTAGCTTATAGCAAATTTGAGTCTGTTTACTTTTATCTCTATGTCCACTAACCCATCCTCAGCTGTTTTCCTACGATCACCTGACACGGGTATCGTCGCCATCCATCATTCCAGGGGTCAATCTTGGGTCATACGAAGTCAACATCACTCACCGACGTTGTCGCACGCTGGGACTTGTAGAGATGACGTGAGATCTTGGCTCGGAGTGAAGATTTCTGTCGCCTGGTTTGCTTCTATATCGCGATCTGGCAGCCGAGGTTGTTTTCTCGTGGGATCTTGATCGCACTACACCAAATCCGCCATTAGCCTGCAAGTTGGACCGTCCTGGTCCACTTCAGGTCTCATTCCACAATTTCCCGTACCGGGTACACTCCTCCCCAGCCTTCATCCAGCCATCACCATGAGTCATGCGGGCAGCGACTCCGGGAGTCCCCCAATTCTGACTCCTCCCGACTCTCAGCAATCAATCGCGAGCAATCGGTCGCGACACGCCAATATCTTGCGTCGCTCGCGCCCCCACGCCCCCCATCAGGGTCGGCGGTTAGACATCTTGGATGGTGTGTTCCGCCAGAGCAACCTCGTGCGGAATCGCCTCGTCCGGGATCGAAATCATCTCGATCTGCAAGTCCACCAGCGATCCGACATCCGGGGCATGGAAGTGTTCCAGCACGGCCAGCGAGACGTGATCACCCGCCTAGAGGACGAGAACTCGAACATCGCCTACGACGCCGGTGACGATCCTGAAGGACTCCGCGCCCAAGTTCTCCAACTCCGAGTCGAGCGTAACGACTTCGAGCGTCATGTGATTTCTGCCCGTGAAGATCTTCGTCATGCCAAGGCAGATCGGATGGTCTGCGCCAGGAGGATACCCAGGCCGGCGACGAGATCCGGGACTTGCAGGAGCAGGTCTGCGGTTTAGAGCGTGAGACTGACGACGCGAGGTCCGAATCTGCCACCGCTCTCGCTAGCTACAACCGGATCTCTTCCAGCCTCATCCATCCGCAACCGGATCACGGAGGAGAGTCATCACTTGGAGGTCCTGCCCGTCTGGCCCCGGCAAACCGGGATCGCGCATTGACCGATCTTGCACTCGACCGTGCAACCCTGACGCAGGTCACTGAGAATCGGGTGCGTGTCGATCGCGACACGTCCCTCCAACGCCGTGATCAGGCGATTGCGGAGCGCGATTTGGTTCGCTTAGATCTCTTCACGGAATCTGCGCGCGCCGTCCAGCTGGACGACGATCTTGAGGTGGTTTGTATGGAGCTCCAGGTATGGGAGGGCCGGATGGCGGATCTCCAGCTTGCCCACGACCAACTCGGCGAATTGAGGGATCTGGCCGAACGTGATCTGGCTGAGACGGATCTGCTCCTCACGCATCTCGCTAGCCGGATCCGAGAGAGTCAAGTGGTGCAGATGCCGAAACGTGAGCGAAGTCCGTCCAGTTCTCCTCCCCAATTACCGCCTCTCATAACGCCTTGCGGCTAAAGACCAATTTATCCGCCGCCCGACCAAGATCACCCCAAGATCGAAGGTCTGCAGGGTGAGGAACTTGAAGATAAGCGCGAGATTCCAGGCGGAGGTGGAGGCAGTCTGGGCGCTGACAATTCCCCTTCTTCATGATCATGGACCCTCGACTCCTCCTTCCTCACCTCACGAATCTCCCGGAGGAAGTCCAGGTGACGGTTCCCCTGGTGATGGCTCCCTCTCCAACTGAATCCGCCGCTGTTTCCTGCCGAGGCGAGTGTACCCCGATATTCCACGGCTAAGATATTCACGGCAGCCGAGATCACCCCGTGGGATCCGTCTATGGTGGGCCCGTGCCGATCGTCGCCATGATTAAGGCCACTTCGACCAAGAGGTTGCCGATCCCGCCCGGCTTCCTGTTTCCCGCTCAAACGCCATTTGTTCGGACGCCCATACCCGTGAGTGGTTACCGTTCTGAGCTCATCACTGGTTCCACCGTATTGGCTATGATGGCTACGGCGCCATGGCGCGTGCTTCGACAGAATCGCCCCGCTCCGCTGGCTTTCGATCACAACCTGCACCGGCGGCTGGCACCCCATTATAGCGGATCGCAATATCGTATACTGCCCTGGAGGAGGATCACCTGATCGCGTATTGGGAATCGACCCATTACCTCGAGATCACGAAAGCGATGCTCAACTCGGACCCCGATCTCTTCATCATCCCTGTTCCTTCCACTTGCCGACAACCCAAGATTGGGTGTGCTGATATTCCGGATCGGTCTCCAGAGCGGCCAATCTTGCGCAGCAGACCGCGAACCTCCCCGAGCCGACCGACCTGATCACGGCCTTGTTCGAATGAGACCAGGCGGATCCCCGGCGGAGCCATTACCGCGATCCCGGTACTGCTCATCTATCGCTGCAGATCCCTCGTCTCGCGAACAAATTCAACCCCCCAGCGGCTCTTTGATCGCAGATCTGACTTCACCTCGGGGGAAACTTCCGTGATCGCCACTCGCCATCCCGTGATCGCGATTCCTTCCTGTCGGTTCCGTAATTTTCTAATGTCAGCTACATCTTCTGCTTGTTTGCTCTTTTCTTCGCTCATCCTAGGTGATCTTTCTTCAGATTCACCACGCCTTCCGCGTACTCTCACAAAGGACGACATTTCCTATATGCACATATACAACATGGACTTCTGATCTCAGTCTCATCCGACTTACACTTCCTCGGGGTCGAGACGATCAATCAATCTCAACTCGTCCTCATTACATCTCCTCAAGTGATTACATCACAATGAAGGGGTGTCGATTAGCATGTCTTCGCAGGACGTGTTGCCCTGCAGTTGAGATCGGCTTCGTCGACCCAGGCCGGCTCGTCATATCCTGCCCAATGCACCAGGGATTATCGGTAGATCTGACCGAATCGCGTTTGCTTCCCACTCCGCACATCCGAGATCCGGTCGTCTTTGTACTCGTCAGCTCCGAGATCTGGAACCCAGCTATCCTCCTGAAGCAGGACCTCATCGAAATCGAGGCGATCCTATTCGTTCATCGTGAGTTCCATTCACGGGCGATCCGGAAAGTCCTTGACCAAATTCAACTTTGACACGTGAACGACTGGGAAGATCTGGTACCCAGTACCCGCGATCTCGTGCTTGATGCTGAACTCGTTGATCTTTTCAGCAACCCGGAATGGTCCATGCCACAGGTGAGCCAATACCCGCGCGTATCCCTCCTTCACCCGGTCTAGATACAACCAGACACGAGATCCAGCCTCGATCTGGTGTGATCCGACTTCCGCATTGTGTCGGCTGGCCCGATTCTCAATGGCTTCCATCAATCTGGTGTTTATTTGCTTTCGGGACTGCTGATAATATCACTGGACCTGATAACACCATCGCCGCGCGTCCCGATCGCGTCGTCTGGTACATCCGACTGGCACTGTAGCCTCTAACGTCGATCTCGGATCCCATCCATGCGCCGGATAGTGAGGTGTATCCCCTCGGACACGATCGTGGGCCGTGTTGATAAGTCGCTCGTACATCTTGAGCGTCCTGATCGCAGTCTGCACCATTCGTTCGACGGTCCCGTTGGGTTGTGGCCGATATGTCATCATCGCCCGCTACCGCTGTTCCAGGATCTTATTAAACGCCCGGAAGAAGTCGGACATGACGCCGGGTTCTCGATCATGCCGGATCATCTCACAGGCACCGAATCGCCGAAATACACATTCTTCGTATGATTCCGCGCCCGTCTGAGCCGACCGGGACGAGCTAGCTTTCGCAATCACGTATCCTGTGAACAGATCGATCCAGATCAAAAACTCCGTATTCCCCTTGTGGGATCAGGGTAGCGACGGTATGTGATCCATCGCAATGATTTGGAACGGGTACATCGCCTGCAAATTCCCCGGTGATTCACCCCGGATCACAGGATTTCCTTTTCCCGTTTCACTGTCCATGCATTCCCCACGTATTGCTGAACGCTCCGATATAGTTCTCTCCAGTGGAAGTGGTCCCTGATCTGCTGATAGGTATGCCCCACTCCCTGATGTCCTTCTTCTAACGTAGTGTGATAATGATGTAAGACGTCCGGTTGCAGCGTCTCGGGAACTACCAATCGATCGTGATTCTCCCCCGATCTCGGCGTTGGAGGCCAGTAGAAGAGTAGATCCTGTTCGTCCACCTCATAGCCGGCAGCGATCTTGCCGTACGACCTTGCTTCTGTTTGCGTGAGGTCTGCAATCGCGCCACACAGATACTTCTTCATGCCTGTAATCCAGACCTCCTCCTCCTGAGCCCTTTGATCCGATCGACCCGCATCTCCCCGATCAAGTCCTCTTGCATGACCCCCGCGGGAGATCTAACTCGAGAAGCTCGGGTAGTGACCGCTGCAACTCGCACCACAGGGTTCTCGGTCTTCGGAATCAAGATTTCGTCTAGTCTGTTCAGAGTGACCAGGACTTGGTACTAGGGCTGTAACGGGGTTACACAAAACTCTAACCGCAATTAACCGGTTAGAGTTCAAGGTTTCCTATCTTGGTGTGCGGACACACCAAGACTACATATAGAAAGATCCTATTGGTAGAATACATCATATCTCTACCAATCAGTGACGCGGACCACTGTCAGCCACTCGCTGACAGTCCCTTAGATATTAGATGATCAGTTTAGGAAGGGAACACTTTAGGAAAGAAACGCATAACAAAAATAACAGTTTTCAAATTACGCTATCTAATTCCTATCTAGTCTTTAGTATACACCTATTGTGTATACTAAAGACTATCTAGGGAAACCTACGCTTCCTCCTACGCGTGCGCATACGTGTAAGCTAGGTAGTGAGCACTAGGCCCACTACACCTGGTAGCACTTTGTAGTCCGTCCAACGACCGACTACCTTGTTCGTATGAGTTACGAACACGGGCAAGAGAACCTTCCGATGGACGGGTCATCCGTCGGAAGCCCGAGCACGTCTGTTACGCATGTGGCGCGTACAGACTGCCCCCACCTGGCGGATCCAGAATGGGAGGCGCTCCAACGACTGTCAACAGTCATTGGGGAGGCGGCCGTAGCAACAATGCTACGCACGCTATCACCGACAGAGCAACATGGTGTTGCTCTGGGATTCATCATGAGAGAGCAACGCGAGGTTGTTTCCGCAAAGCCATTGTCTCCGGTAGAGACACCGCGGAAAGAACACCTGAAGTTACGTGTCAGTACATACATGGGCAGAGAAGGTGAGACCCTTCTCCGCTGGCTGGTCGAACT